GTCCGAAGTAGCACCTGTTGGAAAGAGTTATCCTGCGTTGGACTTCTAGGCTGATATAGTTGGTGGTGTTTACGCTGGTTCCAAGATAGACGAAATTATCTACAACTTCAAAGMTATGACTGTCAACAGTGACGTGAGTGCCAAGTCGCGAGTGTGACGACTGCCAGACCCATTTGTGTTGCTTTCTTGTCCAGTCTGGCGAAAGCAGAACTAACGGCGCGGGTGTTGAGGCCGCTGATATCAATATCATCGGCATACGCCAACAGCTGTACACTCTTATAGAAGATCGAACTATTTTCCCTAGAAGCACGTTGAAAAAGTCGCACGATAAAAAATCGCCTTGTCTGAAACCTCGTTTGGTATCGAACGGCTCGGAGAGGTCCTTTCCGATTCTGATGGAGCTTTTGGTGCTCAGCTCAAAGTCAGYTTACACAGCCGTATAACTTTTGCAGGGATACCAAATTCAGACTTTGCGGCATAAAGGCAGCTTCTTTTCGTGCTGTCAAAGGCAGCTTTGACATCAACGGAGAGGTGGTGAGTGTCGATTCTTTCACGGGTCTTTTCCAAGATTTGGCGTATGGTGAATATCTGTTGATTTTCCAGGTCTGAAGCCACACTGATAAGGTCCAATCAGTTTGATGACGGTGGGCTATAATCTTWCACACARTACGCTCGATAGAACCTTATACGCTATGTTGAGAAGGCTTATCCCACGGTAGTTGTGCGGTCCTCATTTTTGTGGATTGGGCAAAGCACGTTTAAAATCCAACCGTTGGGAATGCTTTCGTCCGACCATATTTGACTAGCTCGGCCGGCAATCCATCGGCCCCTGCCGATTTGTTGTTCTTCAGGCGGGTAATTGCTATTCGAAATTCTTCCGATCGGGCAATGGAACGTCTGCTCCATCGTCATCGATTGTGGAATCAGGTTCGCCTTCTCCTGGCGTTGTCCGTTCACTGCCATTCAGCAGGCTGGAGAAGTGTTCCTTCCATAATTTAAGTATGCTCTGGGCATGGGTGACGAGATCACCTTTGGGGGATCTACAAGAGTAGAATTTGCATGCGTTTTTTGCTGCACAGAGGCGCGTGCGAATCTTGGTAGCAACAAGATAGTG